GGGATTGGACTGGACTGTGGGACATAAAGTGATACTCGTGAGGAGTGTGCTTCTTAGCTCAAGTAGATACCTGAGACTAAATGGGCAGCTCCTGTCCGGAGGCGAGATGAGAAGGCAGAGAGGGTCAGAAGCTGGTTGAATGGATAGAGGAAATCAGAGGTGGAAAGGAGTGTGCTGTCACAGTATAGCGAGAACAACTAGGGTCACATAACAAGGTAAGTATAAATTTTTGTATGAGAGACTAACTTGAATTGTAAACTGTCACTTAAAGCACAATTTACAAAAAGTATAAAATGTAAGATGGTATTCTACCCCCCTTACTCTGGGTTTATGCTAGAGAGGAGGATCCAGTATCTGAGGCTCTAAATTTAAGATCCTGAATACTCAAGAATAATAACAACGACAATAACAACTCCCATTTACTGAGTACCTGTTATGTGCTAGATATTATACTATGAATTCCAATGTGTTCCAATTAGATATCATCTAATACTTAGAATAATGAAAGTGTATGTTCAGAGACCTTAAATAACCTGGCCCAAGGTTACAAAGCTAGTAAGTCTCAGAGTCAGTATTCAAACCTAAGTCTGATTCCAAAGCCTCCCAATCTAACCAGACCCAAATGACTAAGATAAATAAATATGGTTAAAATTCAGGTGATGCCTAGCTTATTTGAGCTGCACTTGGGCACAGTTTCTCTGCAGTCTTCAATATTATCTGTTCTCTTCTCCCACCTTTCTAAACCCCAATATGTAGCTTCCATTGATACCTGAATTTGAGAAGCATGTAGATCCATGGTGATGATATGATCTGCACCTGCTACAGACAGCATATTTGCAACAAGCTTGGCTGAGATTGGGGCCCGGCTCTAAATGGGGAGAAGGGGAAAAGAAAAAGAAAAACCAAACAGCCAATTTGAGTAAGAGTTCATTTGTTCAAGAAGCATTTATTTACTTATTGTGTACCTACTAAGTCTAAGGCACTGTGCAGCCAGGAAATTCATATAAGACATGATCAGTGACTTTAAGTAGATCATAAGCTAGCAAAAATATTAAGCGGAACATCATTTTTCAAACTCAGGATACGTATTTCAGACAAGAAAATACCTTCTTAATGCATATACTTTGCTATTTTCTGCCTATTCAAGGGTTTCCAACGGCCATTTATTTAAACAGATGGACTTCTAATTTAAAATCTTTTGAAGAATAATTTTATTAAAGTATCTTTTAACACATACATACCCAAACCTGTATAACATTTAACACATCAAAGTTTAAAGATGCATCACAGAATGGAAATTATAGTTTCTTTTATAAACTACACCACCACATTACTCACCTGGAGGTCAACCACCCAGCAACCCCAACCCCCTTAGATCAAAGACAAATACACCTGCTGAACTGTAAAACAGCAAAGTCCACGCATGCCCTTTCCTCTATACTCTGTAGGAGCACTATGCTCACTCTGTTGGAGTAAAATATCTGGCTTTCTCCAAGCACTGTGTGTAAACATTGGACATCGATTGCAATGGATGTAAAACTTGATGTTTACACCTTATCCTCTAATATACCAGATAAATAAGGTGGTGGGGTGTGTGTGTATGCATACACACATACATATATATATTTATGTGTGTATACATATATATCAGATACATAGTTTATATATATATACGTGTAAACCACAGCTTGAAAATAATTCTACTCCATAGGAATTGATGCTTAGTCTTCGTCATAAAATTTACGACTATCAGTGAACTAACAAAGTCACACATGTATGAATTCAATAAATATACAGATTACAAACTTGCTGCTTTATAAAAACCAACTACATATCTACTGTTTGTGAAAAGGGTGATATCTAATGGAATATGATTTTAAAATACCCCCTTAATATATATCTGATGATTAAATAAGTTTTTGTGACTCTGGGCAAGTACGCCTGTTTCCCTTGCTTTTTTAAAAAAAAAAAAGAGAGAGAGAGAGAGAGAAACAGCTTCTGCCCCCACCTTATCCTTCTTATCCTGCCGGGCATAAGGGAAGCATGGGATGACTGCAGTAACCCGGCTGGCTGAAGCAATCTTGCAGGCATTAATCATGATCAAAAGCTCCATTAGATTGTCGTTGATTTCTCCACAACCACTCTGAACAATGTAGACATCCTCTCCACGCACACTCTCGCCAATTTCCACGCTACATGGGGAAAGGAAGGACAACATAAAATAGACTTTTAAGAACTATACTATACTTCTACAGACAAACCCAAACCTGTTGCCACTGAGTCGATTCCAACTCATAGCGACCCCACATTAGAGAGTAGAACTGCCCCACAGGGTTTCCAAGGAGCACCTGGTGGATTTGAACTGCTGACCTTTTGGTTAGCAGCCGAGCTCTTAACCACCCTGCCACCAGGGCTCTAGCTCTACAGACAGTAAGATCTAAAAAGCATAGCTTCCCTACCAGTATGCTGTGACTGGATTATAGCTGCATGTCGATCCTGAGCCCCTCAGACTTCAGGAGATCCCCTGCACCAGAAGTAGCCTCCTCAGTTTAGTCCCATGTACTACACAAATATTAACATTTTCTACATGTGACACGACAGGAAGACTGGCTAAGGTTAGTCTAAAGTACTTACCAATGATGGGAGCATGATTTCAGTAGGTGGCCCTTATCTTGTTTCATGCAGATACATGAATATGAATATGATCTGAATGCAAATTTGATACATCACCTGTGACTGTTACATAATCTATACTTAACGGAAGAAGCAGAAGTATCATATAAGGAATAGATCATTATTATTCTATAATGACCTTCTATTATATGACAGTGCGATCTCTACCATATTGGCAATTCACTCAACAAACATTAAATGTCTATAGGCCGATCACTGTGCTAGTACTAGGGACACAACAGTGAATAAAACAGATGTAGTCCTTGACCTCATCCTATACTAACTTGTATGCAGTTGAGTTGATTTTCAACTCATAGCAACCTCACGACAGAGTAGAACTGCCCCATAGGCTTTTATAGGCTGTTATCTTTTCAGAAGCAGATCACCATGTCTTTCTCTCGTGGAAACAATAGGTGGGTTTGAACCACCAACCTTTCCATTAGCAGTCAAGTGCTTAACCATTGCGTCAAGGCTCCTATACTAACTGCAATCTGGACCAGTAAGTAAGTCTTGTTTAAAAAAAAAAATCCTACTCTAAAAATTGTTGTTGTTAGGGGCCTTTGAGTCGATTTGACTCATACTGACCCCATGTGACAGACAGTAGAACTGCCCCATAGAGTTTTCTTGGCTGTAATCTTTACAGAAGCATATCTGCAGCAGAGCCCCTGGGTGGGTTTGAACTACCAACCTTTCAGTTAGCAGCCAAGAGCTTAGCCATTGCATCACCAAGGCTCCTTGCTCTAAAAAATAAAATTTATTAAATCTTAAAAAATTCCAAAGGAAGTTACTCTAATTATGAAGTAACAGTTATATTTTACTGTAAAATGAAACTCTCAATGCCTACACTTGGGTCTCTACCAAGAATAACTCAGTGAGGCCTCAAAGCAGCATTATTTTCCCTGTTAATCCTATAGGTGGGGTGTATGCGTGTGTGTGTGGGTGTGTGTGTGTGTAGAAAAAGAACAGATCAGCGTGATTGATAACCCCTGTTGAGCAAGAGAAGAACTTCTTCACTTCAAATCAAAAGGCAATACAGTTATTAAATAAAAGATCATACTTTCACCTCAGTGCCATCACTATATTCTACAGGGCTTTAGGAACTATTCATTGTCCTATGCCTAACAGGATCACTTTTACCCAACGCTTCTCTCTCTCCCCAAACAAAACTTCATGGAGCATTCTGAAAGGAACTTATGCAGAAATCAGCAGGAAGTAATTCTATTGCCAGAAGAAGCTAATATAGGAGGATATTATTCCTTTCCAATCCAAGTAGCTCTTGAAACGATCCTACCTTTTAAAAGAATGGGGTTAGTTTGTATTGCAAAGCAAGAAAAATAAAAACAAACGGCAAAAATCAAACCGGAAACAAATTAGAACAGGGAAGTTGAGATTTCTGGTTAGGCAGAAAAAAAAAAAGAAAGAAAACACATTAGTTTGGGTTATCTGGAAATAAACTTTCTTCAGGCACTGAATTCAAGTATGGATCCTTATGTTAAAAGTGCATTATTTGCTCAAATCAGTAATCTAAGTTCCTACCTCAAGAAATCAGAAAAAGGGCAGAAATCAATGAAATGGAAAACAGGAAAACAATAAAGAAAACCAATGAAATAAAAAAATTGGTTCTTGGAGAGGGTGGAATCAATAAAACTAATAAACCTCTAGGAAGACTGGTAACAATTAAAAGACAAAAATCATCAATATTAGGAATGAAACAGGGAATATCATTACATATCCTGTAGCCATTAAAAGGATAACAAGGGAATACTATGAACAACTTTATGACCAAATTTGACAACTAAGAAGAAACAGACTAATTCCTTGAAAACCACAAGCTATCGAAACTCACCCAAGATGAAACAGACAATCTGAATACTCCTATAACCATTAAAGAGATTGAATTCCTAATTAAAAAGCTTGTCCAAAAGGCTTCACTGGAGAATTCTATCAAATATTTAAAGAACACCAATTATGCACACTCTCTTCCAGAAAATAGGTGATAAAGGAGCACTTCCCAACTCATTCTATAAGGCCAGTATGACCCATAAACCAAAACCAGACAAAGGCAATATAAAAAAAGAAAACTACACAGTATCTTGACAGTATTAATATCCTGGTTGTATATTATATATTGTTTTGCAAGATATTACCGTTGGGAAAACTGAGTAATGGGTACATTGTGTCTCTCTGTAAGTATTTCTTACAACTGCATGTGAATCTATAATTATCTGAAAATCTACGGTTCAATTTTAACAAAAAGTACGCTATTCAGGCAAATGTAGTCCAGAGTTTATTAGTGGTTACCAGGGGTGGGAGGGAGGGGTAAAGGGGGAATCATTGCTGAGGGTGCACTGAGTTTCTGATAATGATGGCAGAATAATTTGTAAAAGGATAGTGGTGATGGTTGCACAACATGATGAATGTAATCAATGTCACTGAATCGTACATATAAAAATTGGCACTTTTTGTTATATATGCTTTTACCACAATAAAAAAACATTTAAAGTACTATTCATACCTTTAAGGAGTCCTGGTGGTGCAGTGGTTAAGCACTTGGCTGCTAACTGAAAGGTCAGCAGTCAGAACCCAGCAGCCCTTCCACGGAAGAAAGCTGCGGCAGTCTGCTCCCATGAAGATGACCGTCTTGGAAACCCTATGGGGCAGTTCTACTCTGTCCTATAGGGTTACTATGAGTCGGAACTGACTGGATGGCAATGGTTTTTTTAATTCATACTTTGTGTATACTAAACAATTACTGTAGCACCCCATGAAAGCTGAGGTCATAAAAGTACAACTAAAAGCAAACGCACTTCTGAGATACTATGTGATGCTAATACTGTGAGGGAACTTGGAGAACTCCGATTTTAACTTGAGAAATAGCTCAGCCAACCGCACCGGACTGGACCTTATTTGCGAACCTATTCCAACAAACTGTAAAAAACACACTTATGAGGCGGAGAAATTTGAACACTGACTGGTTATTCGATATTAAGGGATTATTGCTAATTTTTTTAGGCATGATAATTGTACTGTGGTTACAGAAATATATATAGATGATATAATGTCTGGGTTTGCTTCAAAATAATTCAATTGTGTGGTATGTGTAGAATAAGGTGAAGCAAGATTAGCCATGAGTTGGTAAACTGCTGAAGCTGGGTAATATGTACACTGGGGGAGGGAGATAATCACATTATTTTCTATACTTCTGTATGTGTTTGAAATGTTCCATAAGAAAAAGTTAAATAAATAAAGTGACCCTCCCTAATTAGTCTCTCATCACCCTGGTGATTCCCTTCATGAAGGTAGGAACTAGATTTGTCATGCTTGCCTGTATCCCCAGACAGCCAGTGCCAAGATGATGTGAACGAATGAATGAATGAATACCGGTCAGGATTAGGCTGCCTCTTGCATTCACTCACGTTAGCCAGAATGTGAACTGGCTGCATGCCTGCTTCTGCAAAAATTTAGAAGACTGGCTTTTATTATCACTCACAAGATAACTTACTGCTGATTCTATCCACCAAACCAAACGCGACCCCATAGGGTTTCCAAGGCTGTAAATCTTTACGGAGGCAGACTGTCACATCTTTCTCCCGCAGTGGTTTCGAACAGCCGGCCTTTCGGTTAGCATTCGAGTGCTTTAAGCACTGTGCCACCAGGGCTTATTTCTGATTCTACATTAGGGTCAAATGGAAACATGTTTTTTAAAAAGGTTTTGACAAATCTGCTCACACCCTTTTACAGATACTCGGCTAATATCTAATTTTGGGTAGAACTACAACCTGATGGGCCCACCAGAATGAGCTAGCTACAAAGAATTTTATGGTGGGATTCTTAGAGATAATTGAGTAACATAACGAACAATAAATCAATTGTGTGGACCCTCAAGTAGCTGAACTGACACAGTGCTGTCTATTCCCCCCCTCCTTTTTATTTTACTTATGGACACTTAACTTGTTTCAGCTTTTATAGGAATTTTTCCTGACCTTCAGTTAGAACAACTAGAACGATAAGTATCCAATATATTAAGGATATTTTATTAATCACTAGCTCAGCCCTAAGAAACAATTGAATCTGCTGTAAATGCCAACTATACCAAAGCCAAAAATGCTGTGAAGACATTCTTCAAAACTCAAATGGACAGGCAGGAGGGACTCCGGAAGGGCTTTCTGTAAGAACAACTTCCATGTTTTTCCAACCACATAGTCCAATGTGGTAGCCACTGGCCACATGTGGTTAATGAGCACTTGAAATGTGGCAAGTGTGACTGGGAAACTGAATTGAGATGTGCTGTATGTGTAAAAAATGCACACCTTATTTGGTGGTAGGCCCAATAAAGCAGTAGCAGTTTAAAGAAACTTCTCAGCTCTCCGTTACTACCAATGCTGCCCTTTGAGAGGTTCCAGGCTAAAAGTTTCTTCTATGTTTTATGCTGCAAAACTCTGGGGTCTTGATCAAGTACTTCAAATATTTGAGTAATTTCTGAACTGAGACATTTTTAATCCTGCCCAGTCATACCCTATACCTCAAACTCCATGACCAAGATCTCCATTTCCTTGGGGAGAATGGAAATCAGTCACATTAATTTCCAGTAAAAAGTCAACTTTGCCCTATATAGCTCTTGTTTCAGTCAAGAACACGGAGTATCATCTGTGCTCCAGGCATTCACTCAGCAGAAAGTCAAGTTGTTTGATTAGGAGCAAGAGAACAAATGTACAATTTGACAATTGATACAAGAGAGGATATGCTAAGTATCTACTCCTCTAGGTTTTTAAAGCTTTATTATCAAGTAAGACAGAAGGCATCATACTTAGACCATGGTGGCTTATCTCCTTTTACAAATGTCTCAGCTATCAGAGTCAACATAAAAATACATCCACAAAATTACTATATTACTCATTATGTTACTCAATATCACTACTTAAGGATTCCACCCATGAAATTCTTAGAATTCCGTGCCTGGGAGTCTCTAAAGAGTTTTATGAAAAATTAAAACTACATAATCCACTGCATATGCCTTTATCCCTTTGGCTGCTATGAAGCCAAGGGATACAGTTAAACGTAATATTAAACTTCAGTAACCATTTTATGTCAAACTCTTGGCACAATTACTGAAGCCCTTTGTTCTGATGTATGTATCTTCTTCTTAGCTAATTTTTGTTATCCTTTCTTGAAAGCTGGTAAAGTATGAATTATAAGATTATATTATGACTTCCCATTTAAACATTAGAGAACATCTGCTGAACATTTGCTTTAGTATAGATAATTCTTTTAGAAACTATACATTCTAACATTGCATAAAGTTTTGAAAAGTAATTTTTAAAAAACCACTTACTAGCTCACCAGCCAACACAATTGCAAGTACCATTTTTGTGTTATTACTTGATAATAATTAACCAGCCGTTTAGCTATTTCCCAAAGCCAAACTTAAGAGTAAAACTTACCCTCGGCATAAGATGTTTGTTATGACAAAAAGGCATATATCTGATAATGTGAAAAAGTTATTTAACTATGTTAAAAATAAAGTGTTGCAAGTAAACTAGGAGACTACCTGGTTTTACTATGTATATATCTAATTTCACTAATCAAGACCAATCTTTCCCTCTAGTCGCACTGTAAGGCATAGACTTTCATAAAGCCTTAAACAGCCCATGAACTTCACTCAGATTATACAGCTTGGTCAATAAACAGTTCAATGAATCCTCAAAAAAAAATTAACATTATTCTTATGGTTTTCTCTAAAAGATAAGTTATGGCAGTGACTGATGGTAGAAACAAAGCCAAACCTTTTGCCGTCGAGTCGATTCCGACTCATAGTGGCCCTAGAGGACAGTGTAGAACTGCCCCATAGAAGTTCCAAGGAGTGCCTGTTGGATTTGAACTGCCAACCTTCTGGTTAGCAGCTGAGCTCTTAACCACTGTGCCACGAGGGCTCCAGTTGTGCCTAAAACCGGTTTGCTCCTAATATACAGTAAAACCTGTGAAAGCTGGAACCTGTGTAAGGCAGAAACCTGTCAGAGAAGGAAAACACAAATATTTTCCACTAAAACAAGCAATAGAAAAGTGGTAAGGCTTCATCCTGTCAAAGGCAGAAAACTGGCAAAACCAAGAAAACCAAGGCAGTCCCATCGAGTTCCGGCTCTCACAGGTTTCACCATAGTATATTAGGCAGAAAGACCTAATTCAGTACTTTAGAGGGTGACACATTCTCCTTGTTCTCTCCCACTAGTTAATGGGGTATTCTCCAAATGGCTCTGAGCCAATCATTCTCCCAGCGGTTTTGGAGAGGCGAGAAGACCGGCTATGTTTATCCAATGAACGAGAAAACTACCTTCTCCTTTACCCTTTCCTTAGCATGGGGCATAAGTACATACAGTTGGCACTGAATGTTAAGAAACACAAAAAGGAAATAAAGTAAATTTAAAAGCCAGATGGTATCCTGAAGAAAATCTCAAGAATTCAGACTACTGGGATGTTGGCATGTACGAAATACATGGGATTAACTACCCAAAGGATCAGGTTATGAGGAAAATCCTAGGAAACCAAAGTTAAAAGTCTTTCTTCCTCCTCTCAACCAATCCAGAATAACCAAATAAACAAAAACTATTTATTAGTATTGAAGAGAACTGAGTTCAAATTTTAGTATACCCAGAAGTTTTAAAAGCCAGGCAAGATATATCAGCACAAATTCAAAAGAATAATATTCAGTGGTGGGCAAGTTACTTAACCTCTGAATCCTAGTTCCCTCATCTATAGAATACAGATAAAAGTATAAACTCCACATAGCAGTTTTGAGAGGATTAAATATAATGTGTGTATAGGATGATCCTGATTTCAGAAACAAAGCACTCTGCTCAAAGGAGTATCAACCCGAGATTCTGCTAGCTCCCATGCTAAGCAACTGTCTCATTTGAGGATGGGCTCTGCTGTTCACCATCTGATGACCCACAGCTCCCACTAAGCTGCCTATCCATGACCTATAGATCCCAAGAGTCACAGAGGGCAGTAGTTACCGTTTCTGCAGTGTAGAAAAGCCAAAGTGTGTGTGTGGCGGGGTGGGGGTGGGTGGGATAAACATATTCAATTTTGTCCAATGAAAATATCAGGATATCTAAGGAACCAAGAAGCTGATGATTAAGCCAGAAACAAGGAAACCTAACTAGTCAGCGTTTGCCCATTTTAGGCTTAATCTTATCCAACGTTTCCAAGCTGTCCATGTTGCTGTCCAGTTGTTTAAAAATGAAACCATCTCAGAGAAGAGGTAGATTTGGATTGCTGATGAATTCAGGGAAAAAAAAAATCAGTGGAAAACTAGGTTGTTCTCTCCCTCCCCTCTCCCAATATAACAAAATAATCAAAGTTAACTTTTCAATTTACTGTATGTAGCCTGGTGTGTTGTATTATGCAGAGGGCAGAAGGGTGAACACTAGGAGAAAATAAAGTTTTCATATTTTTCCTAGAAGCATAGGGTATTCCGTTTAGGAAAAGGATTTAATAACCCCACAGTTCTCTAAGGGGACCAAAAAGACCCCTAAATGAAAACCATTCTTGTCCCCTAGGTTATATACTGCCATTCTCAAAGTCTGATCCGGCTTTGTGTTCTTTATTATGACCCACAAGCTACAGAGGTGTGGTCAAAGCTATTCAGCTTGATTAAGGTACTGCCTGGTTACAGATGGCACCAGTGTTTGCACAGTCATTTACATCACAATCAGCAGCACAATAATCAGACATGCAGAATGAAGCGGTCCATTACAGACAGATCTAAAAAAGATAGAGGAAGTTACACTTGGGAAATCAATTTAAAGAAAAAAGGAAAGCAAAAGTATTTAAGAAAAAGTGCTCAACGTCATCTTCATTAATTTAACTGATCACTAGGTGTAAACGTTCCCCTTAACAGATGACTGCATCTGTAAGATTGAGTACTGTGCCGATTTGATCAAAAGGGGCAAAACCACACACCTATCAGAACCAGAAGATTCTACATTTAGGTGGAAGGGGAATTGAAAGAATCAAGTAACCACGTTCTCTCTAAGATGGCCCGATGGTGCAGGCTGAGGGTGGAAGTGGGGGGAGGGGGCAAGTTTACTGGCAAGGCAATGAAAAAAAAAATTCAACGTTCAACGTACAGTGCGATTCCAGTCTTCCACTCCATTACCTTTTCTCTACTTTCAGGTATAAAATTGTTTCCTAAATTCCCCCACGCAGCTCTAACAGAACTAGACAAGTCCAGGGTGGATGTTTTCTGAAAAACATATTTTTGCACTATCTTTATCACTAGCTGCACGGAGAGAAGTCAAAGACTGCAGAAGTAAGGTTCCTTAAGACTTTCTGGGTGGCTCAAGCTGAGATGAATATCTAGGATATAGAGCGAATGCATCACTTTATCCAATCAACTAGATTTAACTGTAAGTATGACTCCATTCTATAGATTCTAAAGATGTGAAAAGCTAACGCATGCCAAACTAAGGAAAGTCCTCGGTAATAATTTTGGCGCCCTCGGTACATGTCAGTTTTACTAATCACCAAACCGAACCGATACCATTTCGAATCCAAAAGCTGCTCCTTAGATCCAAGGAGAAAGTCCAGGAGGGCTCAGAACGCAGTAGGCTCTTCAATGCAAGCTGGTCCAAGGGCTCAAGCGAACTCAGTCCAGCCTGGGTAGCTCAACAGCAAAGCGACAAAGCCACGTGTCCCCTTGGCCGAGGCTAAGCGATTGTCCCCTCCCCTCGCACCTGGCGGCCACTATCCCCACGTTGGGTCCTCCAGTCCCTGCCTTCAAACCCAACCAAAGCAGCTTCGCCTCACGCTCCATCTTGACTCCACCCCACCGCACGGTGAGAATAAACGTGACCTTTCCACCAGAGGTAAAATAACGGAAACAGCCCGCGGAGCACGCACGCCACCAAGCTGCCCCCTCCGTCCCCCCGCCCCTAGGAACTCACGCGGCGACCCCATCCCCCCGCCCTCCGCCGCTCACGCGGTGCCCCCGCTGCCCGGGCAGGTGAGCCCCGCTGGGAGTTCCAACTTGGCCCTTACCAGGTCTCCTGGTTGCTGAATTTCTTAGTCACCACCTTGCCTAGCTCCAGGCCCAGGCGGTCGGCAATTTTCTGGGATAAATCCTGATGGGAGCTGCCGCTGAAGATTTTGATATTCGGCATCTTGGCCAACTACCCTCGGCACTCTGCCCTCAGCGATCACTGCTGCTGCCGACGCTGGAATCTAAGGCGTGCTGGAGACTCGGTACTAACCGCTTCGCGTTGCTACTCCGCCATCTTACATTGCCGCCCGGCGCGCGGCTCTAAATTGCCCAGCGCCGGGAGGCGGGGACCGCACGAAAGTCCACGCCCCGCCATCACTGATTAGCTGAGCGAGTAGCTAGGGGCAGTGTCCTCGTCGTAACTCTGCCTCTCCCGGTCTTGTAAGCTATTGGCTGGACGGCATGAAGGGGGCGAAGTTAAGACATAGCCCCGCCCCCGGTAGCTAGGCAGTTGGGGAGAGGTGGCTAGACAGCGGGCAGACGTTCGCAGTGGTCTGGAGGGATGCTGGGGACTGGAGGTCCAGATCTTTCCGCAAATGGGAAATCAGCCACGCTTTATTTTTTCCTTCCCTAGTCTGGTTCTGGTTTACAGTTTCTTTTAAGAAAATCTGTTCACCAGGATGTCAGCCACCGTTTGTCAAAGTGAAGGGGAACTTTCTGAACGTGAGTTTTTAAGGTTCTGAACACAATGTTTATCTTTTTTAGAAGGATGGGGCCGAATTAAAGCACTTTAACATCAAAGAGAGGCACCCACCCATAGCACAGGCACATGCAAAGGGTCACCTTTGCCTGGAAGACAAATCCCAAGGGGAAAGTGACTGAGGGCTTGCGGCCCGAATCATCCAGGGATGAAAGTGAAAGCCGTGTTTTGTTTCTAAAGTTGGGATCTAGTTTGTTCAAACAGTGAAGGAGTGTGGATTTGCCAAAATATCTGGGCGATAAAGTTCTGATTTATTTAACCCTTGAAAAGGAAAGAAAATATCGTATACTATGGGACTTAGGATAAAGAGTCCCCAAAGAGTCAGAAAACCTGGTTTTGAGTCCTTCTGCCAACCTCATTTGAGTCTCAGTGTCATCGTCTGCATGTTGCTAACCTGGCTTTTTGCACCATGTTTTATTATTTTTTGGAGCCCTGGTGGCGCAGTGGTTAAGAGTTTGGCTGCTAATCAAAAGGTCAGCGTTTCAAATCCACCAGCAGCTCCTTGGAAACCTTATGGGGGGTCCTGTAGGGTCGCTATGAGTCGGAACCGACTCCATGGCAACGGGGTTGGTTTGGTTTTATTATTTTTATAATGTTACTTACCAATTGGACCAAAGAGAGCTTTTATTCTCATACCACGTTTTCATTAGGCATATTCCAACCATGGGTTAGGAGAAGTAAAAGAAAAAGCGAACAATTTTAGAATCAAAAGTGGCCTTAGGTCTCATGACCACCAGCTGTAAAAACAAAAGAAGGGACTTCAAAAATCATCTAGTCTACTAGCTTCACTTTACATATGGGGAAACTGAGACCCAGAGACAGGAAGGGATTTGTCCAAGTGGCAGAAGTAGGAAATACTTGAAGGAGCATCTCACCTTGCTCTTTCTGCCATTTTCAGCAATATCCATTGTCAGACTTTTATGAGTTCAGAAATTTAATGTAGGACCATGTATATGGAATGTTTGCAGAAAGAAGCAAACTGCAAGGCAGAACATTAGTAGTCTTACATCATAATTCATTCATCAAATATTTATGGAGTGCCTTATTGCACACAAGGCAGTGTGCTGGGCATTGAGGGGACTACAGAATATTTAAGGATTCCTGGTGGTGGAGCCCTGGTGGCACAAGGGTTAAGAGCTCAGCTGCTAACCAAAAGGTTGGCAGTTCTAATCCACTAGGCACTTCTTGGAAACCCTATAGGGTAGTTCTGCTCTGACCTATAGGGTTGCTATGAGTCAGAATTGACTTGACAGCAATGGGTTTTTTTTTTTTCGTTGGTGGTGCAGTGGTTAAGTGCTGCTAACTGAAAGATCAGTGGTTTGAACCCACCAGCCACTCAGAGGAGAAAGATGTGGCAGTCTGCTCCTGTAAAGATTACAGCCTTGGAAACCATATAGGGTACTTCTACTCTGTCCTATAGGGTTGCTATGAGTCAGAATGGACTCAACGGCACACAACAACACAGAGGATTTGCCCCCAAGGAATTGGTTCATTCAGTAAATATTCACTGAACACTTTTTATGTGCCAGGTCATATTCTGGGCGCTGAGAATACAGCATGAAACAATCAAAAATCGCTACTCTCTTGGAACTTACCTTCTCAAACAATAAACATGGAAATAAAGAAAATATATAGAATGTCAAATGATGTTAAGGGCTCTTGAAAAAATCAGGCAAATGAAGTGGGATAAGTGTACCAGGGTGGTGTTGGGGAGGAATACCACAAAACAAAACAAAACCAGTTGTGGTGGAATACATTCCAACTCATGGCAACCCCGTGAGTTGCAGAGTGGAACTGCGCTCCATAGGATTTTCAAGGCTGTGACTTTTAAGAAGGGAACCCTGATGGTGCAGTGGTTAAAGTGAGTTCAGCAGCCTGAACTCACCAGCGGCTCCTGGGGAGAAAGATGTGGCAGTCTACTTCCATAAAGATTTACAGCCTTGGGTGGGGACCATGGTCTCGGGGAGCATCTAGCTCAATTGGCATAACATGGTTTATAAAGACAATGTTCTACATTCTACCTTGGTGAGTAGCGTCTGGTGTCTTTAAAGCCTGTGAGCAGCCATCTAAGATACTCCACTGGTCTCACCCCTTTGGGAGCAAGGGAGAATGAAGAGAACAGGATACAAGGAAAATATTTGTCCAAAGGACTAATGGACCACAGCTACCACGGCCTCCACCAGACTGAGTCCAGTACAACTAGACGGTGCCCGGCTACCACCACTGACTGCTCTGACCGGGATCACAATAGAGGGTCCCGGATAGAGCTGGAAAAGGATGTAGAACAAAATTCTAACTCACAAAAAAAGACCAGATTTACTGGCCTGACAGACTGGAGAAACTCCGAGAGTATGGCCCCCGGACACCCTTTTAGCTCAGTGGTGAAGTCACTCCCGAAGTTCACCATTCAGCCGGGGATTGGACAGCCTCATAGAACAAAATGGGACTAATGAGGCACAGCAGTCCGGGGACAAGGACTAGTAGGCAGGAGGGGACAAGAAAGCTGGTGATAGGAAACCCAAGGTTGAGAAGGGACAGTGTTGACATGTCGTGGGGTTGTTAACCACTGTCATAGGGCAATATGTGTACTAACTGTTTAATGAGAAACTATTGGTTCTGCAAACCTTCATCTAAGGTACAAAAAAAAGAGAGAATTATCTATGTGAGATCAAATTGACAACAGCAACTCAAAAGTTTTGATGGGAGCCTAGGGGGCAGTGAGTTGAAGATAATGGTGATGGAATAATTTGGAAAAGGACAGTAAGAATAGCAGCACAACCTGAAGAATGTAATCGATGTCACTGAATTGTACATGTAGAAACTTTTGAAATGGTGTAACTTTGGCTATGTATATTTTCACTTAAATAAAAGGTCCTCCAAGGTCAAGAAGGGAGCGTGTTGACGTGTCGTGGGGTTGTTAACCAATGTCATAAAACAATATGTGTACTGACTGTTTAATGAGAAACTATTTGTTCTGTAAACCTTCATCTAAAGTACTATATATATATATAAGATTTACAGCCTTGGAAACCCTATGGGGCAGTTCTACTCTGTCCTATAGGGTCACTGTCTTAGGCTGGGTTCTCAAGAGGAGCAAAACCAGTGAAGTAGATATATATAAATACATATAGAGAGAAATTTATTTCAAGGAAATGGCTCACACATTTGTGGAGGCTGGCAAATCCCAAATCTGTGGATCAGGCATCAGCCTGGAGGCTTCTCCTGACTCACATGGTTGCAGGGGCTGACGAACCCAAAATTGGCAGGTCAGACAGCAGGATGCCGGCTCACATCCCAAGAACTGGAGGGTAGAGGATGATGAAACAGATGCAGGATAGAGAGAGGGAAAGCTTTGCCAGAACATCCATACATTGGATGTAGGCCACAACCCCAAGGAAATTCCCCTTTCAACTGTTTGGTTGCTCACATCAGATCCCAAAATGGAAGATGGTTACATAATATCTGCCAAACCACTGAGAGTCATGGCGTAGCCAAGTTGACACATAACCTTTACCATCCCAGTCCATATGAGTTGGACTCAACGGCTGTGGGTTTGGTTTGGTTTTGCCTTTTGGAAGTAGATCACCACGCCTTTCTTCTGAGGTGCCTCTGGGTGGGTTCAAGCCACAAACCTTTGGGTTAGTAGTCAAGCACTCAACTGCTTGCACTATCTAGGGACTCATTGGGGAGTATAATTTTGACTAGCGTGGTCAGAGAAGATCTCCCTGGGAAGGTCACACTTGAGCAAAGATCTCAAGGAGATAAAGAATATGCCATGTCTGGGGCAAGCAGAGGGAACAGCAGGTGTAAAGACCCTAAAGGGAGAGTGTGTCTAGTTTGTTTGAGGAACAGTAAGGAGGTCAGTGTGGCCGGAGCAGAGTGAGGATTGTGGGGTGGTGGGGGTCGAGAGTACTGTAGGAGAAAATAAAGGAGATAAGTTCAGTGAGATAAGAGGGATTGAGTGGAGGGTCCAGATGTACAGCACTTTGTAAACTGTTTTAAGGATTTTGGCTTTTATTGAGTAAAACTTTTTAGCAAAATGATCACCTCAGCTGCTGAGAATAGAGTGTAGGAGGCAAGGTAGGAAGCAGGGAGACAAATTAGGAGTCGACTTTCTAATAGAGGCCATGAGACATTTATGCAAATAATTATAAGGCACAGTACAATTTAATACACTACCCCAGAGAAGCCTGTGTTTGGGTAAAGGTTAAGCTGCTATAACAAAGAAATTCTGAAATACAGTGGCTCAGATAAGACGGATTCTTTTACGCTTGCATAAAAGGCTGGTTGGTCTAGGTCAGTTCCATGCTCCATGCTAGGTCACAGGCACATCCCCATTCCAGCTCATGGGACAGGGGAAAGAGAAGAGGTACAGGCAAGGGATTTCCTTTTAAGGAGCCCTGGTGGTGTAGTGGTTAAGAGCTCTGCTGCTAACCAAAAGGTCGGCATTTGGAATCCACCAGCCGCTCCTTGGAAACCCTATGGGGCAGTTCTACTCTGTCCCATAGGGTGGCTATGAGTTGGAGTTGACTCAAT